AGCAAAATTTCCCCCGAAATATAAAAAAAAAAAAAAAAAATTAATTAAAAAAAAATTATAATTATAACATGCTTCTCATGTATAGTTTTTATTAATTAAAAATATAAAATAATCCTAATATAGGTGGTTTTATGAATTTTTTTTTCTATTTTTCTTCTAATTTATATTGATTCTGAACATTCGAATTATAATTTTAATTTCGGGGCACAATATCCTTTTTTTGTAAAGTAAAAGTATTTGTAAAAATACTATAGAAGATTTCATAAAATTCAATTATTACACCAACATATATGTACATTACATTGTTCCAGTGCACTCCGACTGTTTATCCCGCTGAGCCGTTCGACGCGAACGCAGATGCTGCTATCTTACGTAAAGCGATGAAAGGCTTTGGTACGGATGAAAAGGCAATCATTGATGTGATCACGAAAAGAGGCATAGTACAAAGACTAGAGATTGCGGAGGCGTTTAAGACTCTCTATGGAAAGGATCTGATTAACGATCTGAAGAGCGAACTGACTGGGAAATTGGAGGATGTCATCGTTGCTCTTATGACTCCACTGCCACATTATTATGCCAAAGAGCTGCACGACGCAGTGAGCGGCATGGGTACGGACGAGGAAGCAATCGTCGAGATTTTGTGTACTCTCAGTAATTATGGCATCCGTACGATTGCCGCATTTTACGAAAATTGTAAGATTTTTGCCATTTTGACTTATTATGCATGTTTATAATTGACAATCTTGTTGATTAATTAATGAACATACCTGTTACAAACAGTATATGGCAAAACGCTTGAAAGTGATCTGAAGGGTGATACATCTGGTCATTTCAAAAGATTACTGGTGTCTCTCGTACAGGCAAACAGAGACGAAAATCAAGGTATCGATCATGCCCAAGCTGCTGCTGATGCTCAAGCGTTATTTGAAGCTGGTACGTGACAGCAATTTCTTTTACTTAGTAACCTAGAAATTAAAACTCAATGTATTTTATAACGTAATGTATAATTTCTAAACTTGAATTCTTTTATGTAGGCGAAAAGCAATGGGGTACAGATGAATCGCAATTCAATGCGATTTTAGTATCGCGCAGCTATCAACAACTGCGACAAACGTTTATTGAGTATGAGAAAATATCGGGGCATGACATAGAGGTTGCCATAAAAAAGGAATTTTCTGGCAGTATCGAGAAAGGCCTGCTTGGAATAGGTAGGTAAAGTTTCCCGATAAGATATAAGCACACATTAATTATTTATGTTTCTATATAGAAACTGTCATAAGTATGTAATATTGTTATATGTGTATATCATTCGCAGTTACTAATTTTATAATGTGACTGGTCCTTGTATTTCTTACAAGCAGAAATGTAGTACATGTGTGCTATAAAATCAATTAATACAATTAAGAGAAACAATTGAAAGGAATGTTTTTTTTTTATACATTTTCTTTTTAGTTCTGCTTAGATGAGAATAATTGTGCGTTTCAGTGCGAACACGAGCAAGCGGTTGAAATAGCAGTTTGATACAAGGAAAACGATAAGCCCTCGAATGCATTATGGAATATTGATTACCCCGTGACAATATAAAACGATATCACGAATTAAAGTTTCCGTGAAATGTATATCTGGCCCTCCTTTCGCATACATTTTTGTCGCTTTCTGCGAGTTTTTATAATACGATCGAAAAGTATTTTTGCAAAGCAGAGGCAAGTCACTACACAGCAGGATTTTACATATATAGCTTTTATCTGCCCATTTGTAGAAAGTTATTAATGTGATTATTGCTGAGATTGCCGATTAATTCTTAGAATTAGATATTTTTAAACATAAATATACACATTGTATATGACGGATCTTAGCGACGTAAAATGTAGTAGGCATCACCCAAATTTTTCTTTATCTCACGCACTGTTCTCCTCCACTTAATAATATCTTCTTGTCGATCTACATGTGATATTTTCGATTTTGTTATAAAAAGGATATTTCTATCATTATGCAATAATTATTAAAAAGAGCATAATTTTAGTTAAATCCCATAAAATGCATGAAAATGGTGTGGACACATTTATCAGAGCCTGTATATATTTAAATATCTCTCGATGCTGCATGCGGCAACTATTAACATATAACATACAAAAAACATTCGTGTTGCTTGTATCTATACACTTTATATACAAGTACAGTAGAGTTGCGTAAGACTTGAATTGAGTATCTTATGAATGTAGTATCTTGTAGCATGGAAAGCATATGCTCTCTTGTGTTAATTCATTCCATGCCATTTCTTCATAGATTATTCATTAATATACTTTTAATATATATATATA